CTGAAGCGTCATCCGATGCAAGATGAACAGGGCCAAACCTTGCAATTCCACATACATGCAAGGGAACTGTCCCGGCTATTCAGACATTCTACATCGATATATACCAGGGGAACAATATATCGGGTTGTTTGTAAAACTGTCGAAATATAAGGAAAAATCTTATCTAGGTTTCATCCTTGGAGGGCGGAGATGAAGCCTTTGTCTCAGCAAACAAATAAAATGTCACCTGAATGTCGTCTGAAGAAATAACATGTCATCTAGATAGTTTGGTACACAGAAAAGAATTACTCATACGCTTCCAGAAACAACAGTCCTTAACATACTATTTTCCACCTAGGGTTGCCAGCTTCAGTAGGGAAGTTCGTTATTCATTTATTTATTCATTTAAAAAAAATATTTTTAGTTTTTAATGAAAAAATGGGGGAATAAAAAGGGGAAGGGGGGGATAAGGATTTAGAAAAAAGATATTAAATATTTTAAATATTTACAAATAGCAAGGACCATCACAGATATCAGTACATATTTCAAATATATAACATATTCCTAATATTAAAAGATATTGTCTTTCGGTCAATCTTAATAAGACTTTTATAGTTGCAACTATTCATAGAATCATAAGAGTTGGAAGGGACCTCCATGGACATCTAGTCCAACCTCCTGCACACTGCAGGAAATCCACAAATACCTCCCTCCCACCCAACCCCCGTGTCCCCTGCTCCGTGCCCAGAAGATGACAAAAAAACCGCCAGGATCCCTGGGCAAACGGGCCCGGAGAAAAATTGTTTCCTGACCCCAAAGTGGCAATCAGCATTTTCCTGAGCGTGTAAGAAAGGGCCACGAGAACGAAGCACTGGTGCAACCTTTTTATTTATTTTTATTTGTTTTTTATTATTTATTTGTTTGTTTATTCACTTAATTTATACTCTGCTTTTCTCCCCACTGAGAACCCAAGGCGGCTTACACCGTTCTCCACGTCTCTGTTTTATCCTCACAAGCCTGTGAGGTAGGCGAGGCTGAGAGAATGTGATGGCCCAAGGGTCACCTAGCAAGCTACCATGGCAGTGTGGGGATTTGAACCTGGGTCTCCCAGATCCTAGTCTGACACTTGAACCACCACACCATGGCATGGTGTCAAGGCAAGCAGGGCTATTTTAGGAACGCACAGGAACGGAGTTCCGGCTGGCTTCAGAGTTGGCCACGCCCACTACAGCCAAAACCTCTGTGTGCGTGGCTACAGAGGGAAGGCCTGGAGAGCGACACCCCTCTGGCGACTCTGGGGTGGGCGGGCCAGGAGGGCCCTGGAAGGATGGGGAGGCATTTAAGTGCCTCCCCATGCCTTCCCTGCTCTGCGTGCCTACCCTGGCCTGTCCAAGGGCCGCCTTGCCCGGGCTCCCAGTAGCCACAGGGCGTCCGGGCAAGCCAAGTGAAGACATGAGGTGTGGCCTAATATGCTAATGAATTTTGCTGTTGGGTGTGGCATATTATGCTAATGAGTTCCTGCTGGGCTTTTTCTACCAAAAAAGCCCTGGTGTCAAGGAGATCTGGGGGGTGGGGTGGGCATGGAGGTTTAATTTGGGGAGGGATTTCACCTAGAGTCCATGATATACCATACGGCACAGAGTCTGCCCTGTGAAGCTGCCATTTTCTCCAGGGATACCGATCCCTGTATGCTGGATATCAGCTGTAATTCTGGGAGACGTCCTGGCCCCACCTGGAAGCTGGCAACCTTATTTCACACTCATCTATAGCAATGTAGGAACCTATTCGCCATGATGCCACTGCGGAATGCATGGGAATACAGCATGGGGCTGGGGCTGATCATGCCAGTGTTTCCCACCCACTGTGCGCTCTCTGCATCCCACCACAGTGATGGTTAGTCTAAAGCCCCAAATTTCTTGCGACAGTGCAAGAAACCCTGTTAGGCTATTACGATATGAACCTATGTTTGTATTTCTAATAAAGAGGAGGAAGGGAAGGGCTGTTAGTTGCTCCAGGCGTTAGTAGCAAGCAGAGGAGGTGGGAAATGGTGGATTCCACCATGACATCTGAACCAACCTTGTATGGTCGTTCAGCTTGAGAGACAGACCACATGAGGGGCCCTAGATCATGCAGTCGGGCCAGATGCCCCCGAACTACCCTACATGTGGGGTTTTTTTTGTGAGTCTTGTGTGTGTGTGTGTGTGTGTGGGTGTGTGTGCCTGGAAGGTGTGTGTGCCTGGAAGACATGGTTGACTTCTTGTAACTCCTAGTGGATCTTGGACGTTTAGAGAGATGGCTTGCTATTGCCTGCCTCTGCCTCCCAGCCCTGGTATTACTTGGAGGTCTCCCATCCAAGTCGGCCCTGCTTAACTTCCGAGATCTGACGAGCTCCTGCTTACCTGGGCTATCCAGGAGCCCCCGAACTAGCCTAACGTTCTAACCCAGCCACCTGGGAATAGGGTTGCCATCCTCCAGGTGGGGCCTGGCGATCTCCTGGAATTACAATTTACCTCCAGACGACATAAATCAGTTACCCTGGGGGAAACAGATGCTTTGTAAGGGGGACTCTATAGCATTATGGTCTAATGAGGTTCTTCCTTCCCTCTCCAAGCCCCGACCCTCCCCCAAACTTCCAGGAATTTCCTCAGTAGGCAACCCTGCCTGGGACTTTCCCGTCTTCCCTCAAAATGAGCTCCCATTTCTGCAGAAGGCCATCAGCCACGACGGAAATGACTTCTCGGAGCACGTGCAGAGTGCATTTCCCTCCTTCCTGCGTAAAACACTCCACCCACCCGGCACAGGAAAGGAGGTGTGCGGGCAGGACCCCTGCTCGGTCTGCAGTTGGCAGGCCTCAGAGCGAACCCGGCCAGGCCCTCTGATAATGAGCGCTCCACGTCGGAGCTGCGGCGGGGTTTGCCCGAGAGAGCCTCGCCTCCGCGGGCCCGGCTCCTGCAGCAGCAGCAGGGCGGGCGGCGCTGCCCCTTTAAGGAAGAGGAGGCGGAGGGTGCCCGCCAGGCGGTGGGTGGCTGTTTGTCGCTCCCTTCCCGGGCCTGATCTGCCGCCTCCTGTGCGCAGGATCGCTTGGCGGCTCCTCCGGCCGGGGAGCGGCGGCAGAGTCTCGCTCACTCGCTCGCAGCCATGCACGGGCTAGGCCAGCCTTGCGCTCTGGCGGCGGCGCTTTTCCCCCCGGGGCTGCTCAGGGTCGTCGCCAGGAGCGTCGCCTTACGGGAAGCGGCCCGCCGGAGCAGCCGGCGGGCTGCCGCGTGGCTCCTCAGCGGCCCCCAGGTGCAGCCTTGCCCTGCAGCGGAGAAGCAGGCGCCGGCCAGGTTGGAGTTGTTCAGGCCGGGGCGGGTGCCGCACCCGCGAAGCCCCCTCCGCCTCTGCCCCAAGAACCAGCCGCCGTTCCTCCTGCTCTTTCCCCTCCGCCTGCCAGACATGGAGGCGGCCGGCGCCTGCCGGCTGCGCACCGAGGCCGCCCTGCGGGCGACCGGCAGCGACCTGCCCGGTGGGGGAGGCAAGAGCAGCCTCGGATCGCAGAAGGTGGGTGAAAGGCGGGCGGGAGCGGCGCGGAGTCGGGGGCGCCTCCCGGACACGCGCCAGCCGTGGAGAAAAGCCTCCGAACATGTGCAGAGGCCACCTCGAGATGGGTGGTCGCGCTCGTCTGTCTGTAGCAGTCGGAAAGAGCAAGAGTCCAGGAGCGCCTTCGAGACGATTTGTGGCAGGGATATGAGCTTTCCTGAGTCACTGCTCTGCTCGTTTCTTCGGGTGCAGCCAGAAAGCAGCTGAGGCAGGGGGCTGGGGGTGGCCAAGCGAGGTGAAGCCCCGCACACCCTTTCCCGAAATATTCCTAGCAACCTCTGTTGCCAGGTGGGCGGGACGTCACGCGGGGATTCATTCGCACGTCCTCTGCGTTGATACTGTTAACAACGTTATTTATATAACGTTATTGGGCTTTCGGCACAACAGTCTTATAAGTGAGCTCTGTACTATTTCTCTCTCTCCCCCCCCCCCCCCCGTTTGTGGGGGGGGGAGGGACTGACCGGGAATCCACCCCCTCCTCTACCTTCGTCAAGGGGGGGGGGAGAAATGTATCCCCCATGTGCTTCTGCAAAGCATGCGGGGACTCTTTCCTGGGGAGTTCATGCCTAGGCCTTTAGCCGCCTGGCTGCTCTGTTGGTTTGCTTTGTTTTGGCCGTCAAGTCACAGCTGATTTATGCCGACCCCCTATGGTTTTTAAGGCTAGAGAGGTGCAGAGGTGGTTGGTCATTGCCTGCCTGTGCCTAGCAATCCTGGATTTCCTTGGTGGTCCCCCACCCAAATACTAACCAGGGCTGACCCTGCCTAATTTCCGAGATCTGACCAGATTAGTCGAGCCTGAGCTATCCAGGTCAAGCAGCTGTTATATTACACCAGCGTTATTATTTCTTCACGTGCTTTAGGGCAGGGCACAGCTGTAACCTGATCCCTGGTTGTGTATCTCTCTTGCCCTTCCTGTCTTCTCTCTGTGTTGTTGCTCAGGAAGAAGCTGAGTTTACTAATGAACAAGATCCGGGGGGGGGGGGGGGGGGGGTTTACAGAAAAAGGAGAGAGGGCTAGAGAATCCACCATTTACAGTTCTTGAGCCCAGCTATGGAGCTTTAAAAAACCCCTAGAAGTAAAGGGACCGAGTAATGTGTGTCAGTTATTGCATGCTATACAGTGTCTTCTTCTCTTGATTATCCTGCACAGTACACAGCACTATACACTTACCACTGATTCCAGAACTTCACTATCTGTAAATGCTCATCCCACCAGCAAATGAAACCTTCTTGAGTTTTTTTAATATCATGTTTGCAGAATGTTGCATGTTAACATTGCTGTGTGAGACTTTTTCAAATCCTCACATCAGTCAGTGTTCTGTAAGTTTGGAAGTGTTAACATGTACGTAAATCAAATTTCTGACAATGTAGATTCGGCACATGGGAGGATCTGGACCCAGACTGCAAAGAACTGTGCAGAAACATGAAAATGGTACATCCCTTACCCATGCAACTGTGCATGGGCTGAAGATCTCATTTACTAAACTGTGCTGCAGCCTGCACAAAGCTGCAATGCATGCTTGTAGGCCAGATATCCATACCTCTTCAGGATAATTGGGTTGGATCCAGCCAGCTTCACTGATGTAAAAGGGGGGGGGTCCCTTTCACCACCAAAAAAAGCTATGTTGGGGATCATGGGGTTTTGCATGATCAAAGACACATGGGACAAGTGGGAGAAATTCCTGGACATTTAAATCATTAAAATTTCAGAAAGAAAGCTAAAATAGAATGCTTCTGCTTGGAATTTTACTTTTGTTTGCTTAACATGACGAAAGGTGTTCTCTCTCTCTTTTTTAAAATGGAGTTATCAGGCATACATTTCCCCCAGGAACATTTAGCACCTGAAAATAAAAGGCACCCTACTGGATCAGGCCAGCGGTCCCTCCGGCAGGCTGTTTCACCCAGTGGCCAACCAGTTGCCCTGAAGGGCCAACGAACAGGGAACAAAGATACCCCCGTGATGTTGCTTGCTAGCACCGGTATTCAGAAGTGTACTTTCCCTGGATGTGGAGGTTCCTTTTAGACCTCTCGGCTAGTAGTCATTGACGGATCTAATCTCCATGAACCTGTCTAATCCCCCTTTGTAGCTGATTTTGCTGATGGCCACCACTGCATACACTGGCAGTGGACTCTGGACACTATAATTTAATTACTTGTTGAGTCAAGAAGTACTTCTTTTTGTCTGTTCTGAATATATTGCCCATCAGCTTCATTGTGTGCCCCCTGCAACTTCTTTGATTGCCCTGTTCTATGCCTTTTCCAGCTCTACAAAATATTTTTTTGAGGTATGTGACCAGAACTATTTCAAATGAAGGTGCTCCCTAGATCTCTGCTAAAGACAGTTTGGTGTAGTGGTTAAGTGCGCGGACTCTAATCTGGGAGAATCGGGTTTGATTCCGCACTCCTCCACTTGCACCTGGCTGGATGGCCTTGGGCAAGCCATAGTTCTGATAAGAGCTGTTCTTGAAAAAGAGCAGTTTCTGTCAAACCTCACAGGGTGTCTGTTGTGGGGAGGGGAAGGGAAAGGAGTTTGTAAGCCGCTCTGAGACACCTTTGGGTAGTGAAGGGCGGGGTATAAATCCAATCTCCTCCTCCTACTACTACTACTACTAAAGGTATTGCTATACTGGCCATTTTATTTTTAGTCACCTTCCAAAGCCCCAGCATGGAGTTTGCTTTTGTTCACCATTGATCTGTCAGCTGTAACACCCAGGTTTCTTTCCCTCTCTGCCACTCTCAGTTCAGACACCATCAGAATAGGTTTAGGGTTTTTTGTTCCAGCATGTGCCACCATGCACTTACCTACATTGAACTTCATTTGCCACGTTGTTGCCCAATCACCCAGTTTGGCTAGATTCTTCTGCAGTTCTTCACAGTGAGCCTTGGTTTTTACCATCCTGGGTAATTTTGTATTATACCTGCAATTCCAAACCAGGTATAAGCAAATTAAATACCACTGGCTCCAGTACTGATTGTTGTGGGACTCCGCTGCCCTCCATTGTGAGATCTGCCTGTTTATTCCTACTCTGTGCTTCATGTCATTTAAGTGGTTTTTAACCACCATTCTGTGACTGCTAAGCTCTCTCAGATGTCTTTGGTGAGGTACCTTGTCAAAATCTTGAAGGTCCAAGCATATGATGTCTGCTAGTCTCCAATGCTCCCCCTAGGCTGTGGAGTCTTGTGAGCAAAAATTCTGCTTTGTGGGCTGCTGGCATTAAAGTTGTGAGTGAGCAGTTTGGCTACTGCATAAATTAGTTTGCTCACCCTTATTTACATGTTTGTTAACCTTCTGAAAGAGTTCTGAAAAGGTTGGAGGTTCCCTTTGCAGAAGCCATGCTGATTTTCCTTAAGAATTTATTCCTACCAAATTCTGACCACAGCCAAAAATGCAGATCAGTAAATCCAAGTATTGGGGCCATGAATCGACATTGGATTTTTCTACAGACCTGGAGGGATCTCCGGGTTTGTGAAAAGTTTTTTTAAAGATGGGCAGGGTTGAAGTTTCCTCAAAACAGAAACAGCAGACTGAGATCTCGCAAGATCACATTCACGTCTGAGAGGACTGCCTAGCAACCAAGGCATCATAGCCTCAGCCTACGCAGTCCTGGCCGAAGGTTGTTGCAGCATCACCTGGGAGAGAAACACAAAATACTGAGTGGGGCAAATTAGAGAAAAGCCTAGGAAGACAGGCAGTAGAAGTGAAAAATGGGAGAACGGGCTCCCGTTGGCAGCAGAGGATAGGACTCACAATAATGGGTTTAAATTAAGGGTGGGAAACTACCGGCTGGATATTAGGAAACACTTTTTTACCGTAAGAGTTGTGCAACAGTGGAATCGGCTGCCTAGGGAGGTGGTGAGCTCCACCTCACTGGCAGTCCTTAAGCAGTGGCTGGACAAACACTGGTCAGGGATGCTCTAGGCTGATCCTGCACTGAGCAGGGGGTTGGACTAGATGGCCTGTTTGACCCCTTCCAACTCTGTGATTCTATGAGAAAAGCCTAGAGAAAGGGAGAAGAGGGTGTGTGTAGGAAAGAGAAGTTGGGAAGAGACAGAAGGTGGGACCAATGTGAGGGATACAGTTTACTTCCCCTGTGAGTCTCACAGGTCCCCCGTTCTGTCTAATAACAGTTTATCTGGAACGGACAATAGAGCAACCCGCTTGTAATTTTCTGGATCTCCTCTGGATCCCTTTCATTAAGAATAAGCTTTTACATTTGCTACTCAGATGATATTTTTGTGACCTGCATTCTCTGTGTTTGTTGGGATCTGTCTTTTATACCTCTGACGGTGACCTGACCGCCAAAAGGCACAAATCCCAAATCCCCCCAACCCTTTTATAAATATACTATGTTCTATAAATGCCCCTTTCCTTTTGTGAGTCAGAGTAGCTCCTATGAACCTGGGTTCAGATAGCCATCTTTGTCTTTATTTCGCTTTCTGCTCCTTCGACCTCATGTCTGTGTTTTCCACAGGACTCACGTAGTCCAGATGTTGTGGTCTGGGGCTTTGTTTTGCCTTGGAAGCATTGCCCTTACTTTAAAACCTCCTTGCTTGTGCTGTGTACAGTGTCAGTGACCCTAACGCTCCACTTGCCCATTCTTGAGGAGAGTCAATAGCAGTTGTAGAGTTGCTGTGTCCCTTAAATTGCTGGCCTGGTTCTCTTCAGCTGGAGGCACTTGATGCTATTTTGAGCAGAAGTAGTCAAGGAAGAAGAGCAGCATAGTAAAAAGGAGTTGGACAGCTGCCAGTTCCCATCACTTAAGGCTCCTGGCCTGGATTCCTTTCTCTCCCCCCCCCCTTCTAGACCACCTACGAGTTTGTGGACTTTTCATCCACCTGCCCCTCTCTTGGCCGGATCCGTCTGAACTCCTGTTATGACCTCAAAACCATTTCTTAATCATATTTCACACAGGGGACAACCCCAAATTAACTGTTTGCAAATGACGACTTGAAAAATAGCAT